GAGCTCAGTTTCCCACTTCCAAGCGGGAAGGAGTGGACGCCTTGGCCTGTTCCCTTCTCTCTCTCCTGCAGGAGCCTGAGCGGCAAAGTCAGAGCTGAGCCGAGCTGAGCTTGGTGAAGTTGGGTGGTGGGTGTAAGTTAATGCAAGCTTATGAAAGGTGGCGAGGTTGGGGTGGCAGGCAGGCAGGCAGCGTGAAAAGACAGCAGCGCAGCCAGGATAGGGAGCCCACTGTGCCTTCCTCCTAGTGGCTGCCTTCCATGAGGCCATATTGCAGTCTGTTCTGGTGGCCTGGATTACTGCTGCTTTTGCGCCACTCGGTGTGAGCGAGAGGTGTGGAAGCAATCCCAGCTTTCGTTCAGTGTGTGGAACTGCCAGCTGGGCTCGGGCACCCCTCGTGGGAGAGAGCCAGGCTGCCCAAGTCACAGAGCAGCCCAGGGCAGGGCGCGGAAAGCAGGGTGGGAAGTTAACAGCTGCTGCTTCTACTCCTCTGCCAGCCGGCCCAGGCACGGTGGCGACGGTCACACTCTGAACGCCATGGGACTGCCCAGCCAGTTTGCAGCACCATCTTTGGCACGTCTTCCCAGAAAAGGTAAATCCTGCAAAATTAAAGAGCCCTGCTCGTACTGGGCCATAAACTAGCTAGCCACTTTTGACTACGTTATGGGAAATCATGGTTAAGCTCACCTTGGGTAAGCCTATTGTGTGAACACAGCTATTGGGACTTACTCTACAGCTTCATTTTGCAGCCACAGATAAGCAATTCGGCTGAGAATGGATGGTCGTGGGGATGAGTCCAACAGCTCTGAAAAGAGTAGCCAGAAATTCAAGTCTTCTGGTACAAACAGCAATTTAGCACCTGGATTTCCAAGTTAGTGCTGGATCCTCATTCTACTCAGAGGCTAGGTTAAAACAACGCGCAGTGGCTGGGTGCACACGACCAAACCAACTGCGTGATGGTTTAGCATCCAGTGTCTTCCTTTGGACGAAGAAAACGCCAGATGCAACTCTCCCAGGCTGAGGAGCTGCACGAGGGGACGTGGCAATGCAGGGAACCATGGTTTCTGATGGTTTCTGATTCCTACAAGAATCTCCTTTGGTTTGCTTGCTTTACAGAGAGCACTTCAAGCATGGAGCTATGCAGGCAGTGGAGCTGGGGCAGAGAGGTGAAGCCCAGGAAATGGAAAAGAAGTGGGTGTGCGTAGATTTTGTGCTTCTCCTTTTTGTGAGGATTAGACAGCAGAGTTTGCAGAACTTCCTGAAAACAATGCAAAGCCACATCTCGAGATGCCCTCTGTCTTCGGTCCCTTTGGGACGGTCTCTTGCGTTCGATGTTGCTTAACGCAGTTGCCGCCTATCACTTCCTTAGGCTCAACGAATTCTTTGCTGTAGATACAAAGATATACAGGGGGAATGCACACACGCATCATTTATTTGTGTACCCACTTGTGTGCTGCCTCCCCAAAGGATTCCAGGCAGCTTATGGGTCATAAAAACGCCAGTGCCGCATAAACCCATGACTAAGGTAGCAGCATCCAGTTGCCATCCATCACAAGAGCTGCCTCCTGTTATGCCCCCCCCAGCTCCATGGAAGACCAAACTTTGGGGGCATCTCCTCCTAGCGCCCCCACTGAGGTCAGTCTGCTCCATTTCTGGGGAGGGGCAGCACTTACCGAGCAGGCGGGGTCTGCTTGGAGTAGACGGTCCAGAAGGTAGCAGGGACTTGATCCATCTGCGGCTTTACCCATCCCTTGAATTGAGCCCAGAAGCCAGCCAGCAACTGGGGCAGCTCCCACAGCATCAGGGTCCTCCTGCTGCACCAACTTCCCCGTTGGCAAGCAGGCTGCTGAACTTTTCACCACTGCGGTTTCTGGACCTTCTGCGAGGGCAGCCCCACGAAGAGCAGAAGTCCAACCAAGGCCGCAAGCCCAACAGACTCACGGATCGCACGTCCACTCCCGAGGTGGCGCCGTCCCACCCAGAGTTAAAGATGGAGGTGCTTGTGGAGCCCACGGGCTTCTGGTGAACCTGTGCCTCCACCTTGCTAGGATTTATGGTGCGCCAGTTCCACTCCATCCAGCCCCACGACCTCCAGTTCCAGGGCCGACTTCCGTTGCATCTCCTTTGTTTGTGTGAATAAAATTTGATGAGCGATTGAAGCGTTTTTATTTTAACTTCAGACTTTAATATCTCAAGGAAAACCTTCGCTAAGCAACGTACATCACAGGTTGCAGCCAAAGCAAGTATGATTAGCCAATATTAGAAAGGGGGGGCGGGGGGGCTGAGCCGATTTG